GGGGTTCGCAACCACCACGCCCCTTTAGGAGACTAACAGCAGGTCCTGAGTCCATTGACTTCAGTGGGAGAAATGAACGTGATTACAGATTATGGCCGATTCTTTTGCCCCATAGTCACGAAAGCAGATATTGGACCCATTTATCACAAGCCACATATTTTCAGAACATTCTGACGCCAAAATGGTAAATTTCAGACGGACAAATCAGGAGAAAATTTACTTTGTTCAAGACCTGTCTCTGTCTCAACAACACACTCTTGCGAGATCTGGCAACAGATATCTCCTCTCTGGTGCTGAAATCAGTGCAGTTTCACCAAAGATACTGGATTTAAAAATTATTTTTTCCTTACTGGCCATAAGATAAATAAATAAACGGTCCGTGAAACGTTTTTTTTTTCTAGCGGATGTCTTAGTTACAACATGATTGAGCTAGCAAAGCAGTTTTGTGTTGCTATGTGTGGTATTTATTTAGTTTTGGGAAATCACGATGTCTAGAAAGCATCAGTGGCTGCAGCTGACAGGGACAGCTAACAGCAGCAGCAAAGCTAACATCAGGACGTCATCTATTAAAAGCCTCCCGTTGTCAGATACGACATGAAACTTCTCCAGTTAGCTCAATCATGTTGTAACTAAGACATCCGCTGGAAAAAATATTTTTTTCACGGACCGTTTATTTATTTAGCTTACGGCCAGTAATGGTACACACATGTTGACAGAAGCGAGGTTGGGGATACTCGTCTTTGATTGGGGTACGGGGGACAACGCCTACTTAGGAGACCGGAAATGTATACCATTTCATGCAATGGGAGTATATTGTAGGTGGGCCATCTTGTAGTAATCCAGTATCTTTGGTGCCATCACTTTACCCTGCCTTGATTCATTTGTTCTTACTTTAACCTCCACCATGTTGGGTGTGACCTATAAGTGAATTTCTTTACCACACACAGATTTATAGGAATCTACAAGAGACAAAAACGAAACGAATCCGCTTTGCATTTTTAACCTTGGACTCCTGCCTCATCTATAGGTCTCTGAAACACACCCACTCTACCCACGAGCTATCTGACTTAAAATCTAACAAATACATAACTGTGAAATTTTACACCTCTGAATGTTTAGCATTGAAATGATAAACCTTGACAACCATGGTTTTACATTCAAGTGGCTTGAGTTTTCAAGTAGCTTATTTCAAGCTGTAAATAAGAAAAACCTTAATATTAAGTATTTGAGAGTTCACAAATGTAAAAATAGTGCCCAACACTCAAACAAGCATCACCAGGCATGATGTGAGGCTGCACTTGCAGTAGACACAGTGATGCTTTGAGCTAAATGCTAACACCAGAATGCTAAGATGCAGTTCATCCTGATGGCAGGGCATTAATGTCTATAACAAAATTTCATGTCAATCTAGCCAATAGTTCTTGAGAAATTTCACTCTAAACTTTAAAATGTTAACCTCATGACCAGTGTTGAGGTTACTTTTGAAATGTAATATCTTACAGATTACCCTGTTAAATATGTAATATATAATGCATATTTCATTTGTTTGCTTTTTGATTAATTTCTAACAAATGTTTTAAACTGGGCAATAAAGTTAAAGTCCTAAAAGCACAAGTGTTGCGCTCATATTTGTCCCAACAGTTTTGCTGAACCATGTTGTCTAAAATATATCAAAAGATTTTCCTGCACAGCAAAAAGATGCAAAGCAGCAGAATGAGTGTTATTCTGCTTGTAAGCATTTTACCAAGAGGAATATATTTGAACGTAACCCCGCTGCAATCACTGACATTTTGATAACACTCTAAAAAAGGATCCACTGGTTAAACTTTAAAAAATTAAGGTAACAATTTGCATGATTTTTTTTAAGTAGTTCCAACTCAGCCATTATTGAGTCAGTCCTATGAGGGTTTTTTTTTAATCTGACAAACTCAATTAGTTTAGTAACATGATTTACTTTGACATCAAAGAACTGAATTAGGTCGAACCAGAAAGTTGTGTTTTATATTTAGAGGAATTATTATTTAATTTAAGATATTCTAGCTTATTATTTTAATTTTGTCCTACTCAAAAAAGTTTTAGATTTTGACCAACTTCTTAAAAATAAGTTGCCAGCTGACTAAAACACATCACTGAATCAAACGCAATTTTTTTATGCTGAAAAATGTCTTCACTTCTTCTTCACTTACATTCATGAGCCATTTTTAGAGTGTAGTAACTAATTTAATTACATATTTTCTCAGTCAATGTAATGGATTACAGTTTTATTGATTTTGTATTTAATAACTGTTTTATGTAACTTGTTACTCCCCAATACATGTCATAAAGCTAGAGAAAGTCAGGATAACCAAAATCATTATTATCAACACCATGGCTGTACATGGTCTGTACATGTTGTGTGTTTTTTTTTAAGGTAAACTATATTCAAATTCCCTAAAATTCAGTTCAGAATAAAGAAAATCAGGTCAAGTAAAAATAAATAAATAAAATGAGGTTCTCAAATTAGATTGTTCAAATTCAGTTTCCAAAATTCAGGATAAAAAATTAAAACATGAACACTGTCTGCCAAATATAAGCAATAGGCCTTTTCCACAGCACACATTTTTACTTGGCGTAGGAAAAGCTCAGGTGAAACTGATGACCCAAACAGTGGCTCAGTTCCATTTAGTGTCCCAATAAGCTGTTCTAGTGGTCCAGTATGCACAATACCAGGGCCTTCACTGAGGGGAACGCCAGTATCATTAATGTTATTAGATACACCTGTCTCATGAGCCCTGTCTGTCGGGTTACTTTCTGTCAGTATGATACAAGAAAGTTGAACTGACGGGTGACTGGAAACTCCAGACAATGTTTAATACACCATTTTCTGTCAATTTGTAAACCAGAAAAAAACATCTGAATTTGCACTGAACATAACTTGCTGGAATTTTTCCAGGATGAATACATACATTCAGAATTCTGTCTTTTAAAGGAAAGTATTACATTGCTATTCAGAGATATTTAAATTTCAACATTTCCATTCAGCAGTGGGTACATTTTTAAAACAAGCTTTTCAGCTGCTCATGAAATTATTGTAGCCTTTCTTTGCTATCATATTATTGTGCCAGTAGCACGCACATGTGCACAAACACTTGCCCAGATGTCCCACAGAGGCCTTATTACTGTTTCCACCAATGCTGTGAGTTCAAAAAGGTTTCATCCAGGTCAACATGTAGTTCAAAGGTTGCAGCATTGCTTGACAGCTGCAAAAGTCATTGATGGAGCACAAACATCATTCCCCTCTTACACAGAGGCTTTGCTGGAATTGACCTTTTGCTAAGCCCCGCCCCTTTGTGATGGTCCGACAAGCTGTCACAGTAAGCATGGAGCCCACACTGTAATATATATTATCATATTTTTGGAGAAATGAAAGAGTGATTCAGAGAGAAGCAGACAGAGGGGTCTACAGTCTGTGTTTGAAGGATATATCCAGGATGTCAAACTCACTCAGCAGCAACAACAGGTTAAAAAGACAAATATAGTTAGAAGCTAAAGCTGAACTATAGGCTACAGATCACAGTGTAAAAGTGAACCACCACATCACAGCTGATCGCCACACAAGACAATGAATATAAAGGGAAACTTTGCTGATATTGAACCAGCTGTGTGGCATCGCAGTGTGTGCAGATGCACCTGGACCTCCACTGCCAGACTGTCGGGGAGCTCCGTGGGAAGTCTAACAACGTTCATCTGCGTACAACACGATGACACACAGCTGATTGAATATCAGCAAAGTTTCCCTGCTTCCCTTCACTGGTTCCTGTACAGCAGGATCGGTCTTTGTTTCCCTATTATAATCATTAAAAAGCAAAAGCAGCATGTGTATACATTCAGTAGGCTATATCTTCAGTAGCTAGCTAGCTAACCCTACACTTTTCAGGGTTTGAGTTTGGTTTTGGAACAGGGAAGAAACGTATATCTTGTTCCAACCTCTCCAGGTAACGCGTATCATTAATACACGACGTGCCCCAGGCGCAACATTTAGCTCCAAATCCACAAAACCAGCCTGGAAATGAAGGAAATCTGAGTCAGTGGAGCACAGCTGTGTTGTTGTCGGACCCTGGTCTGAGCCGGCCTGATGCTACGTTATGATTGGCCAGTCTGCGTCCGGGGTCAATTCACCAAGTTGCTGTTGCCTTCTCTCTGATTATGCTGTTTTAACTTTATTATCTATCTCTGGGCTAGAGGCTGATGAGAAAGTGAAAGATAACAGCTTGGTAAGGAAGTTGACCTCTGAACAGAGGACAGAAATAAATATCTTGAAGATACATGCAGTCCTCAGCACCTATTCAGCCACAGCAGAGGGGGGAGGCCCACATAAATCAAATGCCAAAGTGATATTTATTCGCCTCCTGAACTATTTACTTACTGACAATAAAGGTGGAATTTATGTGGCTATTAAGACGAGTGTTTCTGAATGGTCAGGGGCTGCAACCAAGGCCACTTTATGGATTGGATGCAATAAAACCCAGTGATAAAACAATATGGAAGCTGTGGACCTGACCGTCAATCAAAGGTAATGATGATAAGCAAGTTCATTAATTTTAATGGAATAAATTCCTCTTAATAATGCAGCAGCCGTGCTGCCATTATCTATATTTCTTGTCTTAATACAGTGCTTTAACCCAGGCTGAATGGAAGTTTTCCTTACCCTCCAGTAAGCCATGAATCAAACAGTGAGAGGTGAGGGGGAGGATGAGGAGGGTGAGGGGGTAGAGGGTACAGGGAGGGTAGGGGCCTTGGTAGAGAGATTAGAGAGATGCCCCGGGCTCATTTCCCAGCTCTGTGGACAAGGTGATGTCACCACACATTTTACTGAGGGATCTCCCATAGAGGGAGGAAGGGAGAAAGAGAGGAGGAGAGAGGGGTGTTGTTGAAAGGAGACAGGAAGAGAGATAGGCAGGGGCAGGAGATAGAGAGTGAAGGAAAAAAAGTAACCGAGAGGAGGAAAGGAAAGGGGGGAGTCGAGGAGGGATAGAGAGACTTGGGATTTGGATTGTGTGCATGAGAGAGAAAGAGGAGAGGAGAGGGGAGGGGAAAAGTTGGACACGGACAATCTTGCAGCAACTTTTTTTCTTCTTTCCTTTCTCTGTGGAGGAAGCCTCAAGAAAGAAAGTCAACGGGACAAAAGACACACTGGATTACATTTGAATTGCATTTGCATCGCCCTGCAGGATTCCCCTGGATACGTACAGGCGTTTATTTCCGGATTAATGTGGTCGCAAATTTGTGGATTTATCAGTAGTTGAAGGTATGGCTTTTATAGACGTGTTGGCGATGCTTGAAGTGTGTGGAGGCTTTGTAAGTTTCAAAGAGACGTCGCAGTGACGGCAGTGAGGCTGTAGTTTGTGAAATGACTGCAGTGGAAGTTTATGCGAAACTTTTGCAGTGTTTCAACACTCTGCAGGCGTTATTATTCAGCAGATGACCAAGTCACTATTCAGCACAATATACAGTGCAAGCCCCTGTGGGATTATCACAGTGATAGTAAAGAAACATGTCATGATTTTAGGAGATAAATTACAACTCTGATGCACTCACTTTGTCCCAGTGGAGATCATTGAAGGTAAAGCTGCAGAGTATTCCTGACACATTGTTGTATTTCTTTATTGGATCTTGCAAAAAACTTTGAAACCACAACTTGTTGGTAGCTGCTGACAAAAGTGATGCAGATTTTCCCTTCATATCTGAGCCTGCATATGACACATTATGACTGTAAACCCTCATGGCATGCATCCAAACCCCCTGTGGCACGGAAAAGCCTCAGAGCAGCCCCGTGTTTGGATCTGCTACATGCATATCATTCAGGCTCAGTAATGTCTGAGCCTTGCACTGATTTCAGATCAGTGTCCACACTCTGAGTTCTTGCCTCTAACATGACCTGGGGGGGAAGTAAGTGCTGAGGAGGAATCTTGAAGTGGCATCTGTTTTCCTCATTACCCAGGCACCCCGTGTTTGCTGGTTTTGCATCCTGCCTGTGCACCCATCTTGAAAATTTTCTCTTCAACATTGTTGCACTAGCCTGTTTAATTCACCAGAGTGCTGCCTCTTGAGAGGAAATCTGTTTTATTTTCCTGATGAGATGTGTCAGTCTCTCCAATGTGTTTCCTCTTCACATTCAGTAAACAACGGATGTCTTTTTTTCGTAGGGTCATATCAATGAAAAACAACCTTAAAAGCTTGGAAACTCTTGTAAGCTGCAGTATCTCCAGGGACACTTTTCCTGTGCGCTAACAGGTTCTACTCCTGCTTCCAACCCTGGGGAATATAGTCCTGTAAACATTACAAATTAGTGTCCTTGAATTTTACTACGCATTAAATGTTGCCCACTTAACCTGCTGCAGGCTGCACATGCAGTGTTTAGCTGTGGGCCTCACACTATCTCTTTCATTTACTGCTTCCAGTTCCAGACTGTGCTGTGGGCCTGCAGCTGATTGTATCATCCACTTACTCTTTGCTTATTCAGGTCAGCAGTGAAGTGAACATTAAGCCATCAGAAATGGTCAGCATTCACCAGGTCATCCGCCTGCTGAAGGCTGACTCAACCATGCATAGTAGGCCAACCAGTATGGCATCAGAGTAGGCGTCACTCGACATAATTACTTCTGTATGAGGACCTCAAGTGCCCATGGCAGACGAACTTTGAGGCAGCCATGAGTAGAAGGAGGGTTGTATGTATTCAACACTCCCTCCTTTTTCTTCGCAGTCTGTAACTGTGTTGGCCTGTTTCTCATTCACAAATTTCCAAACGTCCTGCACACAGCCCAGTATGTAAGACTAGTAATAACTTGCCTCAGTCTACCCTGAGTGTCACACAGCTTCAAATATTGCCTTTGCTAGTTTGCAAGTATCTATTGCTCCCGGTCAGTGAATATCTGGAGTGTCTATCAAAGCCTCAGGGCATCTTTTGTTACTTTCATTCATGCCGAGCTCCCCGTTGTAACAGGTCTGCAGTGCACTCTCAGGTTTGGCCTGAAGCACATCTGAAGCTCCGGGAGCCAGTGTTGCTGTGTTGTTATGTTCATGATGACATATCAAAATTATAGTAAAGAGAAGCTTCTGACTGTCAAAAAACCTTCAACAGAAACGCTTCGATACTTCCTGTCTGGCAAAAAGAACTCCAGGCATGCCTGAAAAGATGGCAGCATATTGAGTGATGTCAACATCCATCTTCTTCTTATTGTTGCCATGCAAACAGCATGGCTCTTTGGATAGTAATGTCGGCCTGTCGGTCCATCACTTTGCTCCAGACTGAGACTGTCTCAACAACTGTTAGATGGATTGCCATGACATTTATTCTAGCTATTCATGTACCCCAAAGGATAAAGCCTCATGACTTTGGTGATCCCCTACCTTTTGCTATAGCGCCACCAGCAGGTCAAAGTTCTTACTTATTCTGTTAGATATCTCAACAGCTGCCTCTTGGATTGGCACAAAATATGGCCAAGACATTCATGGCTCCCAGAGCATGAGTCAGCTGACTTTGGTGATCCTCTGACTTTTCCTCTAGCATCATCATAAGGTTGACATTATAGTTGAGTAAAAACAGCTATTGGTTTAATTGCCATGAAATTTGGAACAAAGACATATGTGACAGCCAGTGCTAAGTGTTACTGTAAACTTTGATGATCCCCTGACTGGAAACATCAGGTCAAAGCTTAGTTTGTCCACTTTATGACCAAATACCCAGAAAACTATGACGTAGCCATCAGTGTCAGCTGTTAAGTGTAAATTAGTAAATGTCAACAGGCTAAAATGCTAAAATTAAGATTGTGAATATTGTGAACATTATGCCTGCTAAGCATTTTGTGCATCTGGCCGAAGCATCGCTGTGCTTAAAACTTTGATCATACTCCAGGATGGACATGGACATCAACAGCTCCAGACACTAGGGTTGGGTATCAGACTTTGTGGTTTTAAGAGTACTTGTCAAATTATGTTGAACTACTGAGTGGTTATTCACGCTAAATCAGTCGGTGCCAAATTCTAGTACCTGAAAGCACAAAGCTTAGAATATAAAGAGAGTAAGGCTATGTCACCTCTGCAGCTTGTTCAAGCTACAGTGAGTCATAGCAATGACTACCCAAAAGCGGTGGCAAGTGTGATTACACTTTTTAAATTTGACACTGACAGTGTTTACTCTGAGACACACACAGCAGCTTTCTTACTCTGTGCCCTTCTGAAAGACTGAGACAGGCTGAATGTTTAAAGGACAGGTTTGGGAGGGGAGAAGGAGATAGGGAGGCGGCTTATTTTGTCTGGTGTGTGAAATGTTATAAATAAAAGAATTGCACCTGTACTTATGAAGGTACTAAACATGGAGGGTTCGTAGTCTGAACCAAGACGACAAATTTGTCATTGCTACTGAATTCCAAGTACAGGTATCCTTTCAAATGTGAATGCAACCCACCCTATATTGGACATGCACGTGCACACACTTTTGGGGGCATGTGTACGTTTTCCACATGGGGCAACATGATGGCGACCTCCTGACAGCAAGAAGAAGCGCTCAATTGTTGGTTGTATTTGGTCAAACATCATAAGGAAGTGTGTGTGACCGCTTAACAAGAATAGGACCAAGGGTGAGAAATACAGTACCTACATACACTTCAGGAAACAAGCGTCCAGTTTCCTTTTGTAGTGCATGTGCAGTCAGGGTGCTTATAGTATGGTCAGTTGGGTCACAAAGTTTGGTCTGCACATGGACATACCCAGAGGGGTCTGCTCTGAACCTTGCGGACTTGGGTAGATGATGTAATTTCGGTTACGCTCATGGCAACGTGGAAACCATGAAATCTCTTGACTGCAGATTTCTATTCTTCTTGTGGTCACAGGGCTGCAGACAGTCCAACAACCATTTCACTTCTCTTTATGGATGCTTCTTTCTGCTTACTCCAATAGTCCATGATGTAACAATGGGCTTTGTCACAGTGTGTTAGCCAAAACTCATGAATATCTTTCTTCTTATGTGTCAGTCTGACATACTTTTTCTGTCTTTCTCATCACATCTTTGTATCTCTGCCCCCCTTGCCTTCTGTTGCACACATGTTATACTGTATATGTTATATATGTCAGTGCATGCATGCATGTCAAGCTGTCTACTGTTTTATGGCTGCATTCCTATCAACTTTTAGTGGACTTTCCTACACACTCTCTGCTAAGAGGACTTTCTCTGGAGGATTCAGTCAGGGTCATGACCACACAGTCAGATCAGGAGGTTGTTTCCACTGCCCAGCACCTAAACCATTCTTGACTGTGTATGTGTTTGTTTGTGCGAGTTAGAGCAGGGTAGATTGGAAGCAGATACCCAGGGAATGAGCCGTCCATCAATCTTGTTGCTACAGAATGCTGGGAGAGACAGCTGGAAAAGCAGTGAACCCTCAAATATTACATGACTGACACATTTATGCAGGGTTCTCCTATTTAAACAGATGGAAGGGAGTCTAAACAGTGGGCTACTGGTTCACTGTTATTTAATCATCCGTGTCTGGGTGGCTAATAAGCAATTCTCTTGTCGGGCCATAGAGAGGACATGTTTCATTTAACTCTGTCAGAGTGTGTTCCTCCAAACAGGGTTGTGTTGGGGCTGTTGTTCCATCTGTAAGCGCTGGCAATGATGATGAAATGTATGACAACAAAAATTGCTAAGCATTGAGCTCAAATTACCTCCATTGTTATAAAGGACAATATCAGTGCCTCTTTTGTCAGTGTATTCAAGCCATTAATAGTCTGGAACTCGTAGCTGAACTGGAAATAAGCAATAGGTCTGGACCTAGAACCAAAATGACCCCTAGAACTACTGAGCAGGTCTGTTTCTTTAAGGGAGACACATTTTTGTCAAAACAATACATCCATGCTGAAATGATAAGGCCTGTGTTGTGATTGTAGAGGTTGGTCACCACTTCTGTCCGCCAGGCTTTTAGCACTGGAAGACTTTCAGATCTGTCATTGTTTTCCTTCCTGTATTGGCTCCGTAATCAGTGACCCGATCACTCGCAGGCCTGCTTACTGGGCTCATGGCCAGCCCAGAGGCCAAGCCCAGTGGCCTAACCCCCGTACTTCCTCTATCTGCTGTGGCCAGCCGGGTGGCCCGTGAAGCTGCAGATGGGAGTCCGGAGAGAGGAGGAGAAAGGGAGACATCCATAGCAACACATATTAGGAAGCCTATTAAATTGTTTTGGATTATGGCCAGATAATAACAGCAATGAGCTGTAACTTTCCCTCAGCCTGTGTTCTCTGGACTGTGATGCATTATGTATTATGTACTGTGTGAACTTTCTTATTATTGTGATCATGTGGCATGAAGCCTGTAATAATGGCTGCAGCTTTAGAGTGCTCAAACTCTCTGTCTAAGGCTTTGATTAACTGTCCAACCATCCAACTGCAGGGGAAAACTTTTTTTTAAATTCATTCTTATTGCTGTTTAGCTTGCAGCTACTTTTATATAAAGTCTCCATGTTGTCAGCAGTTGTACACACAAATCAATTGTGCCATAGCGTGATTAGACAGTGTCTTGCTAGGATCTTGCTCTTCTCATAAAATGGCAACCTGGCCTTTTAAAATGGAAGAAAACAGGGCAAGCAACCACACACTGAGTCAGCAGCCCCCAAAATTGAATGCAAAATTCACAATGTGGGGCATGTCAAGCTGTCCTTGTTATTTCAGAGCATAATTTGAAACGCTGTCCTCCACCACATTGTCCTGTTAGCAGCAAGCTGCGGGCAGTCAGATCAGGCTAGATGGTATTCACACAGTGTCCTCCACCGGGCAGGAGCGCCACATTGTGTAGCCTCAGGGGAGCATGGGGTCATTTCTCCTGGCAGACGGGACAGGTGTGTGCACAGAGACACAGTCTGCTCGCCTGCCTGCCTTGAGGGCCCTGCTGTACCTGTAAACACTGCAGAGTTATAGGGTCCTCACACATGCTGAGGGCAAGTCCAGGTCAGCCGGGATGTGTTTATGTGAATCGAAGTGAGCAATGTTGGTGTGTTTATGTGCGTGCATTCTTGTGTGTGTGTTTATGAATAAAGGGTTGTAGTAAGAAGAGGGACTGTGGAGACCGAATGTAATGATTATTTAGACGTGGCACGTATTTTAATCTGTGCATGAATGTGTGTTTGTGTGTGTGCTTGTTGTTGGGCCACGTGGAAGCATCTGGTGTACACAACCATGGCTCCAGTGGAATAGTCTCCAGATGTGTTTGTGTGTTTTGGCCCCTCTGTGCGTTTGACTCTGGACCAACCAGCCTGCATGGAAATCATTTTACTTTCATGTGCGCATTTTGCTTTGTTGTCTTGGTATTTGTTTGCAGGAGAATGTGTACATTCTTTCTGACTTGTAGAATTTTTTTCTGGATATGGTCGTGTGTGTGTGTGTGTGTGTGTGTGTGTGTGTGTGTGTGCACTCGAATGCACTCTATCAGACATATTCACATGTATGTGTGTGTGTGCTTGTGTGTAGCAGCTGCCCAGTCAAAGGCCAACCAGATGGACAGGATAATGACTATGATCAGACTTTATAGAGTTACACTCCTTAATGAGGGACATTCTGGTTAATTCATATGCCACTAACAAAGCCTGCATCATACCACATAATTAACACATCAACTGTGACTGACTCATAAATATACATCAACTTCTATTTAGGAGTCAAGCATAATGTGCAGCTGTCGGCACAGTGAGCAGGCTGGGTGGCACTGTGACTGAATGGAGGAAGGATTTGACTTTTTTGACTTTCTCTTTTTCTGTTTGTTCATCTATCAGCTGGTGGCTGGGGTGAGGTGTTTACGGAGGAGCGAAACCATGTGGCTTCTCTGCTCCTCTTTGACTCTGTTGGCCCTCAGCTTTGGATCATGTGACCTGCTGACATCAGAGCAAGGTGAGTTTCCCCTTACCTGCTGGAGTTTCTTGAAAATTCAAGTGGTGGTAATGCAGGATAAAAAATGTGAACTACAGAAGAAAGACTACATCTGAAAATGTAATATTCTTACCTTTTTTACTGAGTTTGTTTCAATCTCACAACCTCTTGACGTCAATGGTTTGTTTGCTTTCCTCACTTCAGTTTTTCCTCTAATGATCTGAATTGAGCTGCCAGTTTCATTCAGTGACAGGCTCCGACAGCTCTGATGCAGATTCAACATGCTGAGTCAGCCGAAAGACTCTAAGCTAAACTAATTATAATCAGTTCATCCTTGATCCCAAGTGGACAGTCGTGCCAGATTTGAAGAAATGCCCTTAAAGCCTTCTTAAGATATTATGTTCAAGAGAATGAGGTGGACATATGATCACAATGGCCTCAGCCTTTGAACACCAAAATTGAATCATTCCATCTTTGAGTCCAAGTGGACGTTTGCGCCAAATTTGAAGGAGTTCCCTCAAGGTGTTCTTGAGCTATCATGTTCACAAGAATGGATGGAAATCCGGGAAATAAGATGAGTTCAAAACCTAGTAAATGGCTTGACTGTGTATGAAACACTGAATTGACCAAAAAACAGCCAAAAAAGGCTGACAAGTGCCCACAGTGCGGGAAACACCCCAAATGCTACGGCGAAAGACGATCACTGACGATCGTCGACTGTCCGTTGGCTTGGTCTGTCAGGGCCTTTAAAGCTTTCTAGATTAGCACCTTGGTGAGCTTCAGAGGCGCTGGTTGGAGTCTCCACTGGTTATCTGGAAACCTAGTGGAGGTCTCTGCTCTGAGAATTAACCAGACACAAAGCCCTGTGTAAAACCACTGCTCATTTATACCTTCAGACAGAACCCAGACAAGCTTTGTACCTCCTGGCTTTATGCCAACATAAGCCAACTAGCTGCCAGATGTAAGGCCATATTTCTGTATACATATCAGTGCAGTATCAATGTTCTCATCTAACTCTCAGTGAGAAAACAAATAAACTCATTTCCAAAAAATTGGACAAAACAAGATTAAAAAATAAGATTTAATATAACATTAAGATGAACATTTATTCCAAATTGGATGTAAAGAAAATTCAATAACTGCCTGACATTAATAGTCACTGTGGAGCTCTAAAAAAACTGCCCACCATTGAATCTATGGATAAAAATGTTGAACGGCAAAGGCCACAAAAATTACTAATTGCACTAAACCAACTGCTTCTCAGAACAGTCCTCGTTTCTTCATTTAAATGCTAAAAAGACAATAAAACCATTCAGCAACAGTTGTAACTGAGACAAATTTTCAATCTGAAGTTGTATGCTTGACCAACTCGTCACGCTTTGGAACCCATCTGAGTTTGATGGAACTGTGTCCGTCTGTGTCTGAGCATGTGTATGTGCCCCGAGTGTATGATGGGACCCAAGGCTGCAATGAAAATGGACTGTAATTACAGCTTATGTGCGTTTCGTGCTGGTGGCTGTTGGTGGCACGGTGGTCAAGCTGTGGCAAGGATGTGTTAACCATGTGTGGTTGTGCTCCTCTTCGTGAGCAATCAATCATTCTGAGTGTCTGTGTTTATATATATAGGAGAAATGTGAGTTAAGATTTTCAATGTCTATATGTGCATAAATGAAATTGTGAGCGTGTGTTAGAGTGAGTGTGTTTCTGTATGCATCCAGGTGTGTCTGCGTGTGTGTGTGTGTGTGTGTGTGTGTGTGTGTGTGTGTGTGTGTGCAGAAGACACAAACAGACAACTAAGAAATCAAGAGGCAGAGTGGTGAATGGAATTCTATTTTACTGTCTCATTTTTTATTTATTTCGTTCCCAACTGTCATACTCCCTCATCACACTGTCAGTGTGTTCTCAGGGGCCGGCTCTGTGATATCACTTGGGGGGCCAAACAATTCTCCATACTGTAGCTCGTGGCGCTCTGGAGGGAGCTTTGTGGAGGAGGGAGAGTCCCCCTTGGGAGACCCTAGTCAGAGCTTTTCAGATGAGACTGAGTCAGCTTGCAGCTCTCCTGAGTCCTCGCCCCCAGTGGCTGGAAGAAAGTGCTTTCTCAAGTGCAGCTATAACACTTTGTCACAGCAAGCACCACACACACTCTCACATACACACATTCATCTGACTCATCCAAATCTCTCCTTACTGGTAATTTGCTGACATTACAGCAGGAAAGCAGGTTTAAGTAAAACTAGTGTTGAGGAGTCGAACTGGATGATTGCACTGCAGCTCTGCAGTGTATCAGCCATAGAGACTAGTCCCCATAGTTGAATTAAATTGCTGAGATCCCCTGCCTTTAGTAAAGTGATGCTGATATGTTTTTTGTGCACCACAGACCATATGCAGTCTAAAGTAATAGATCTGTGTATTGATTTGTTTTGACTCAGTTTCCCTCCTCCTGTGTCGGAGCTAAGTTGTATGTTTTCTGATACCAGTGAATTGCAATAGTAATAAGCTCATTTGCACACAATCATAAGTGAGGGAGGACACGCAGCGAGCAGCAGAAGCAGACAATACATTACAGGGCCTGGCTCATAGTACAGCTTGTTGCTTAGGTTAGGATGCAAATAATTAAAGTAAGTATATGCTGTATTTGCTTCTACACTGAAAATAGATGATATGCTGTAGCTCCTTAAAATCCAATCTAATAAAAGTAGTCTGGAACAGGAAAAAGCCAATATCTTTGACCTTTGACCACCAAATCCTAATTAGATCACCCTTCAAAGAAATAATCACTCAAGGTGCTCTTGAAATGTTGCCTTCATTAGAATGGGACAGACGACAGAAAATCCAAAAACACAATTCCACCATCTTGTTGCCAGGCATAAAAACAAGACAAGGTCAGAACCTAGTATATGGGTAGACCATAGGGGGCATTCAATTTGAAATGAGGGCTTTTAATTTGAAACAGAAAGTAGCGGCATTCACCCAGTCACAGACTTCTGCGTAGACCCCCTGTTGATGTTCAGCAGGAAAATCCCTGTGTGTCCCCAGTCACAGCAGGGGGGTCTGCTTTCTCCCGAGCTGTACTCACTGATCAGCTTCCTTTTGGCTCAGTTTAACAAAACCTTCCTTTCTTGCGCTCCGGTCGGTGCCATGGGCTACTTTCGGAGCGAAGTTCTGACAATGTAAAACATCCGATTTATCGTTCTACCTCTAAAAACAACATGAGAGGCCTTTTCACTCTTTTAAAGGATAGTTTTTATCTTAACGCCAGGGCCACACTGCCAACGAAGTGCTGCGAAACGCAGCACACTGAAATTCTGGCGTGAGCCCGTTCACATCAGACGCGCATTTCTCCACGCCGGTCAACAAGCGCTTCTGCTCCCAGCTGTTGTCTCCGTCACATTTGGGGCTGTTTTTCCATCATGGGTATCTCTCTGTTTGCGTGTGTGTGCCCCAACCCCCTATAGCCGGCCCTCTCTCTCTCTCTCTCTCTCTCTCTCTCTCTCTCTCTCT